TCATAATTAAAACAATACTCGAACTAATGGCATGAAATGCTTAAGTAGACTTTTTGTTTTAGTTATGGACATGATCCGATACGAAATAAGAAAATGGCACCGTGTATTTAGCAATAGAATTACTGTAAAAACTAGCACAAGAGGACTCGCACCAACACTTGTCAGTATCGTGCAAACTTACTAAAAAAAAATATTTTTTTCGTACTCCCAAAAGAGTGTATAGCTCAAAACTTCTACGGCTAAAATTCTAAAATATTTCGCTCCGATGGTAAAGAAAACGCTCGTTTTTACTCAAATTCATATCGAAATTCGTTGTTTATCAGAAAACATCGGCCCGATAACGTGCATTTCGCACTCGCCAACTCGTTGCCGGGTCGTTGGTAGTGAATTGAAGATACGTACTAGCAAGCGTTCACAGAACAATTTTGGTCACGAATCTTTCAGTTTCAGTTGGTTTAGTATAAATCTCCAACACTTGTTTGTGCGAACGCTTTATAGCTTCATAGCTTCATAGCTTCATCGGTTCATCGGTTGATCGGTTGATCACTGATCAGTGATCAGTTGTTTCGTTACCATGTTCTAGCCGCGTTATTGTTTGTTTGTTTATATTTACGAAATACGAGAACTAATTTTGAAGTTTGATGCTCAAGATTACATTTAACAATATTAAAGAAATTTGATTTTACATGTAAATGAATCGTGTCTTCTGTTCGCCGTACAAGAAAATACCGGTAAAAAGCGGATCTCAAACAATTTTGAAGATTGAAGATTGAAGAGGTTTTAATATTGTTTTATTAAAATAATTATTTTTTTAAGCAGTGTTTACCTTAAGCGAAACGTAAAGTGTTTGTAAGTGTTTTGTTGTGTAACTCATGAGTCCATAAATCAGTGGAAAATGCTCTGAAATAAATCTGTTGCATGTGGCAATTTATTTACAATCTGAAAAATAAAATAAGAAAACAAAATATTTAATATAAAATGCAAAGAGAAAATAATTAAATGTTTTTTAAATACGAAGTTAACAAAAATTAAAACAAAAAAAAATAGATATTTTTACAATTCGTAATTTTTACATCTGCGAAATGTTGAAAGTGATTTTACCTTACTCAGTGTGAAATATAATAATTTAATTATTTACTAATTAATTAAATTATTAAATAAATTGTTTAAGAGCATATGAGTGCGAATGCGAAAAACGAAAAAAATCAGTTCACTGTGCATCTCGGCTTGGAACAGTTTGTTATTGCGATCACGCACGCTATCTTAACACAAATAAGAAAGTTGGTTACTGATCCAGTGAAGGACACAACGTAGTAAACAAGCGCGCCGATTTCCGGAAGTGATTCTAGAAACAGGAAAAATAGCTTTGCCACGATATTTCATAGGCGCATGTGTGTGATCATGTTCACATTTAACTAGTTTTTTTTTTTTGTTTATTGTCAATATTTTTTTATGGATTTGATTAAAACGTGATAATACAATCATAATCACAAAATATACACACGTGATGTGCTGAATTCTAAATTAGGGAATCAATGATTTCGTGAGTGATTTTTTATTGGTCACTCGTTTGTTTAACAAAAACAAAAAAAAAAACAAAAAAAAAATCGCAAAAGTTTTCCATTATTTATGCAATGCGTTAAACATAATTAAAACAATTCATTAATGAAGGTCTAATTAAAAAATTGAATTTATAAATAAATTTTATAATTTCTATGGAAATATATATATCACCAGTGACTCGCAAAATTTTAGGTGCGATCAAAAACTCTCGCTGCTGGTGTCATTCCGTGCCAGCTTTTAGCACTTCATTACTCCGGTGATAATTAAAGCAAATTAACAAATCCTTTTCTTGAAAAATTAATTTTTTAAAAATAATTCTCTGCCTTTGTTGCTTAATTAAACTGCCATGATGCCATGATGCCAAAATGCGCAATATCGGCCATAATTCTTGGCATTCATAAAACTCTTGCTTAATTTTTTCTTTTGTCTTTTCTGCCTCTTCATCAATTTATTTCATTAAAATACCTGTATCCATAACTTATTTTTTACTAAATAAACTATGAATATATGAACTTATTTAGTAAAAAAAAAGTTCTTCAGAATTAAATTTTAAAAAAAAATATATATATATTTCGCAGTTTGTTTCGTAATGTACTTAGCTGTTTAATTGCCATTTGAGAACGCGCCTCTTTCAGGGTTTAAAGCTATTAAAAAGTCAATAGTTTTGAAAAAAAAAGATAGTGAATTTTTAAAGCAATAAATGTAATATTTATAATAATTTTAATGTTTAAAAAATACTTTTTTCATCAGCGTACATACAAATATACATACAGACATTTTTATATTTACATGTTAATATATATCTTTAGGTAATACTTATTTACATTTTCATCTTTCCAAGTAAATTGATAATTTTATTACTTAATGTACACTTAAATGGAGGTCGAAGATTATCAATAAATTATAAATATATACACATAAATATCAATTAATATATGTGTAGAACTAGTATTGCCCTGTGTGCTTCTCTGCACGTGGTACTGGGATTTTATTTTCAATAAGAAAATAAACAGTTCCAATTATACAGTTTCAATTCGTGTCTTCTACTGTTCTGACGTTTAATTAGTTCTGCTTTTTCATAATCGAATTTTCTTAATTTCGAAATGTTCATTAAGTTGTTCATCAATTTCATGTTTTCTAATATTTATCATTACTGCAGTTTTTGTGGTACGCTTTACAATGATAGCTAGTTATTATATTAAAAACTAAAACGCAACGTTATTTCAATAATGTATTAAATAATTATAATTTAATTTAATATTAATGTATATTTAATTAACTGAAATTAAAAAGTTTTAATTAACTTGCATAAAAAACCTAATTTATTTTTGCTTCTCCCAATTATTAAAAAAAAATGTGTTTAAAAAAAATGAGTATAACTATTTTGCACTATCGAAAAGAAACATGGAATATATCCTTTTCGTCTAATAATATTTCACGAGAACTTTATCAAAATCAGTCAGTTAGTATCGATGTACATAAACAAAAAACACAGTAACTTCAATTTTTATTTAAAGAAAAATAAATAGATAAATACATACAGATAGATAGAGATATCCATTTATTTATATACTTTTATATTTAATGTTAAATTATTTAACATTTAATTAAATATTGTGTTTATTATTGTCCATAAATAAATATCAATAACAGCAATCACATCACAGGTTATTTTCTTATTTTTTTAATACTAGCATTATTATTTATTTTCAAATAATTCGATGATTAAGTTTTAAAAAATAAGTACTTCAAACCTATAACCTATATATCTAAAAGATCTAGAAAAATTACGAAAGTGATAAAGAAACTACGAAGCAACCTTTATATCTTGTATTTCTATTTTAAGCGTTTTATCGAGATTCCACTTCATAGGTCTGGTTTTCATTTCATTAGCACTCTAAGAAAGATGCTGATACTATAGATTTTTTTTAACTATTTGACTAGTAACTACTAGTTAACTATATATACTAAAAAGTTACCCTAAGTAGAATGGAGTGTTTTTGTGAGAGCTCTTTGTCAAAGGTTATATGCAGGAATGGAACACTTTCCATTCGATCTTAAGCGACATAAGATATTAAATCATAATGGTTCCAAGTAAATTTTGTTTGATACTTTCAATAAAACACCTCATTTTTATTGTTATTTTTTTTGATATAGTGTTGTTTTGGATATTTATAAAAATCTTAGAAACAATTTTCTTAGAAAAAGGTTCCATATATCAAACAGCGTTTTATTTTCATATGGAACAGCTATATATGTATATTTATTAGTTGAAAAAAGATGTGGTCAATTAGAAAGAAACGGTTTGTGATAAATGGAAATTTCTTTATGGAAAATTGTTTTTAAGATTTTTATAGGATATATATATATTTTAGGGTTAAAGAATTTAGGGGAATTGTTTCTGAAATACAGTATTAAGCGATTTTCAAGTGAAACCTTTTATTGGGTAGGTTTCTTTGATACTCTGCAACACTAACGCTCGGCCCCGTTTCATGTAATATCTTTTCTTTTCTTGGAACAAAGACTTATCTGCAGAGTTATGGCACTTTAAGCAAAACACAGTATTTTTATTGAACTAACTTATGTGAGTTAAGTAATTTTATTTACTAGGACTCCCCAACTATTTAATTAACTTAATTAAATAAATTAAATTAAAATTATTTTTTAATCTATTAATTTTATTGCTTTTCGCACAATATTATTTAAACTAAGTCCTCAAATATTATTCTATTACAGGCATAAACGTTACAGGTTGCATCTATTTTATCATATATAGTTAATGATCACTTTTATTGATAATATTCTGTAAGAGACTGTAAGAGAAGATAACTACTAGAAGTATATTAGTGTATTTATAAATTGTGAAAGACCCTTGAAAAGCCTTGTGGTAACATAAGATATAAAGTAAAAAATTGTGCAATATTAATTTCACAAAAGAGGCGAATGTTTCATACTCATTTCAACATAGGCCTTTATCTAAAATTCTTATTATAATTATAAGATATAAATAGTAGATATAAAATAGTAGAAATAAGAGACAATCAAAACGTAATTAAAAATATATTTCATTAATAAAGCTTTTTACGTTTTACGTTTCATTTCATTTGAGTTACGAATGCATACCTTCTCGCATTGTCCCAGTAATTATCGTCTACTATAACACTTTTTATCTAACCTCAGCGTGTGTAGGAAATTTTTGCTTAATTATATTGTATTTTAACTTTGTTGTTAGCAATTGACATTATTTAATCAAATCTAATTAAAAAAATAGCAAAAACAAACATCCAACAAAGTGTTTTTGATGATTGATAGAATTGATAAAAATTATTATTAAATTCGAAACAAATTTAAAATCCATAAAAACAATTATCGATAAACAATTGAAATAAAAAAAGAATTAAATTATATTATAATTATTTAGCAGAATTTACAATTGAGTTTCAGTGCCCGAACAGTTGAGTGGCTCTTTAAATGTCATTTATAATCAATCATTAATATCGCGACACATAGAATTTTAATTTCTAATCGCTGGAATAACACACAACTTGAGATACTTCTGCGGCGGGGAAAATGCCTTAATTATCACCAGCACTGATACGAAAGTAAAAGTGTGATTTCACAACTAGAAATGAGGCCGTTTACCGAAAATCTTATGTTAAAATTAAAACCATATCCAAATTTAATTTTGGAAAACCTCGACATCAACGAATACGTAATCGTAAACCAAACAAAATCACAGGAATACGCTCGTATCCGAGGTAAGTGCCGTTTTAGGTTTAATCCGAAACAATTGCGAATTCCATAAAATTATACGATAATTACTTATAGTAAGAGATTATGTTATAGTCATATGTCATCAAATGATATCGGCATCGTATGAAGTTCAATAAAATTTCAATAAAATTGCAATAAAATCTTTTTACCCAACTGACTTTAGCAGTTAAGTAAACAAAACAATTACTTTTATTTGGCCCGTGATTGTTTTTTTAATAGACCAAAAACCACGGCAATAAATCGTTTAATTGAGTCACATCTGAAGTTTCATTGGTATGTCCCCGAATTTTGTTTTGCCATAAATAAAATATCCTCCAATTTAAAGGAAATATTATTTATTCTTATCTTATCCGTCGAGAAGAAAAAATAACAAGATTTATTGGATTCTAAGTCTTACAAAATGCGTTTTAAGAATATGAATTTTGCATGACCCACTAGAACAATGGAATTGATTTCCTGAAATTATTTCTAATGCTATCTTTAATTTTTTAAATTTATGATATTATTAACTAAATTAAATTAAACAATATTTTTAATCATTTATATGCATATATTCATATTGATACATGAACCATATAGCTTTTATTTATGAATGGAAATTGTTCACGTTTATATTTGACAAATTAAAATTTTTTTCATGATAGATATACTCATATATGTAACCCCTCTGTTGCCAAAACTTTAAACAAATAAATATACAGCCGTCTAGTATAACGAATATCAAATTTAAGGAATATCTAATTTAACGAAAGACATAAGTTTCTCATTGCAATGCTCCTTATATAAAATGTATAGTTTTTCTAATATTGCAGGAAAAACAAATGAATATGTAAGGGAACCTTTTGCTAAATTAATACCTTATATATGTTTTAAAAAAAAAGGTCTGGAACACTAAAACCTATTATACAATGGGTTAAAGTAGGCGTACCCAACTTTTTTTAGTGGATTAAGAACCACTTATATTTTTGGTTGTTAGTAGGGACCACAAAGTTTAAGAAAAATAAGCTGTACGATTATTTTAATATGCTTTATGCATCTCTGCTATAGGTAATGTATAATAAATTTTATAAGTACATAGGTACATTATATAGGTTAAAAAATAGGTAAATAAATACTTGAAAATTTATACTCAGAATACCAACTACAAAATACCTGTTAAATTTGAGTCACGGACCATTTTGAAACATCTCTCGAACCACCGGTTGGGAACTATTAGGTTAAAGAGAATAATATGCGACACAATAGCCAAGATTTTTTTGATTTTATGCTTTGAATAAATCAATAAATATTTTTTAATAGAGTTATCCGCTTTTTCCAAAAATATTTTGTAAATATAATAATAGAATTACTTTACAAATGATTCTCGGTTTAACAAATATACAATAAACCTAAAATTTTATTTTTAAGTTTAATTGAATGACTACTGTATGCTACCGTATAATATAAATATATACTTTTTTAATGAGGACTGTAGAATAGGTACATATATTTAGACATTCCCATCAAGCTTTAAAGAAATAATATTATTAAATAATTTAAAATAACGATTTTAATAATTATTTTGTTTCTGAAAAAGGTCAATTGTTTAAATAATATATTTTATTAAAATTAATTATTAAAAAAATTAATTTTTTTCTACACCAATATTTCGACTATTCGACTATACTGCTTTCCAAATAAAATAACATCATTTTTGAAAAGAAAGCAACTCAGTTTTTGTCTATTTCTGAGTATATTATCCTTCAATATAAATATATTTTTATATATATTTTTCTAATAAGTCTAAAATGTGTTCACACACCTTTATTTTTAATTTTATTATTTTATTTTGTATTAAAATTATTTTCAATACAATTATTAATTATTAATTTTGTATTCCTAATTTTTCTATTTTATTTATCTCACTTGACTAATACTACGAACAATTTTTTTCTCAATAATATCTGTACATGTTGAATATTTTTTTTGAAGAACTATATCTAAAATAAATTTCAATATATGTTTAACGAAATCCTGTCTGCGTTCTTGCGTATGCATCTATCTTAAAAAAAAAACTATTTTTCTTATAATTATATACATTTTACTTTTCACTAAATATTATACCACTTTATATGAAGCAATTCCCCTTTATCATAAGTGTTTCGGATAAGAAGTCTAAATTAGACCCGTCTAGTCACTCATTACGAAGCCTTATGACGTTCTCGATTGGTAAATCTGCATTCCATCTAAATTTACTTTCGATCTTCTCAAATTCTGAAATTTTTTAGTTGTGTTAGTAAGCATTTATATATATCATAAATACATACATCAAATCAAATCACACTTTAGCTGTGAAGTCATATTAAACAGCTGTTAATTTCAGGGTATTTTTGTTACTCTCGCAAAATATCTAGAGTGTTATAAATTATTCTTAACTGTTATACATCTCGCTCGAGGTCACCAATCAAGAATGAAAACTACACCAAGAGTAAAACTCGCTTGAAAAACTTACCCCAGATCCAAACCAGTATCACATGAATATGTTATTTTGTCGAAGATGATAGAAAAACTTTCTGTTAGTAGAACTCATCAGTGAAGTCTTTCCATCAATAGCTTAATGACAATCCTAAAACATCGTTTGAGATTATATATACTGACCGGTTTCAAATACAAAGTTCCTGTTCTTTGTGTTTTTTTTTCTGTCGGTACAAAAAAGTAGACGATGCAGAATGATGAAAATCTTGAGGTTCGGTACAAATCTTATTAAATAATTTGTTTTATTGGCATAAACTATTTTCTATAGCTTTTTTTAGTGCTCTATTTGAACCATATAAGAATGTTCAAGTATATCATTCTTCAATACTTCTGATTGCACGTTTCTATGCCGGTATCAAGAATTCAAAACATTTTTCGTTTGTTCCACTTTGTGTAAAGAATTTTTTTGTTTTTTCGTGCTCTACAGATAAGAATCATTTTAGTTAATGTAAATTCATAGTACTTTTGAGTTTGGGTAACGAAATATAATCACCAAATTTACTGATAAACTTCAAAAAATTGTGTAAATCGGGTAAAATTCGCCATCACTATGAATGAAATGTAATAAAAATTAGACTATTATTTGTTATTTGTTTATTAGAATTATTAAATTATGTTATCTTAAAAACACTGGTAATAGTTTGGTAATGGTTACCTACTTTGTGCCGTTGCTAAATATAATCTACAGACATTCAGACGTTCAGTTTTCAGAGTTTATTCATACCGAAACGTCAACGTCAACAGTGAAATGGGAATAATTTGTGGCAATAAATTTTACAAGTCGATAACGTATTAGCGTCATGATTTTTTATGACTCTTAATGAGGAATTATAAAGCCAGAAGAGTACAATTTTTGATGATTTGTACTCCGATAGAGGAAACTTGAAGTAATAAAAAAAGCATAAGTATTTTTTTTATTGAAATAGCCAATCTCATTCGATTGACTGATTTTAACAATGACATTCATCACATTTAACATTCAATTTGAGTAACTGAAATGACAATAAAAGATCCACAAAACAAGAGTTTGACGTCTTGTCTGTGCCTTTTTTTGGTTTCTCTGTAATCCTCTTCTGACGCGTCTTCATTTTGACTACGTGCTAGTTTTGGAATAGGTGATTTTTATATTGCGGTACAGTGCAACTCAAAATAAGTTTCTTCATTAACACCATTCATTTAGGAAGAATAGCGTTCATTGGATTGTTTTCTTCAGTTAACAGACTCTGTAATGAATGGGTTTATTGGCAATAGTTTTAAGTATTAAATTTATTATCCAATCCTCGATATAGTTGTTATGTCATTTCCTGTCAGTTTATTACAATTGGTAAATTAAAACGTAGATTGCAGCATTAGGAAGTACTTTAAATGGTTTTATTGGAATAGAATAAATAGTTCTATTAGCATAGAATAGTTTCATTAGCAGAGGTCATTGATATTAACAACATCCTAAGCAAATTACTTGACATTTACAAATTGGCTGATTTACATTATTTATAACTTATTATTGAATGAATGATATTTCTTTAGCACTTTTTAAATATTATAGAATTTTACTTAAAATCTAGATTGATGGTTATATAAATATAATTACACAAAAAAAGATAAAAGAATTTACTACTTCCAGACTTAGAATAGAACAACTTGGTGTAGAACAGAGTACAACAATTTTAGATTTCAACAGATCCTAACACTATGTTAGTCCTAACTAAGGTTAGTACTACTGGACGTTAGATATGTTAAGCTTTCATAACAGGTAATTTATTTAAAAAACTATGGACTCTGGGCATACCCAAAAATCTTTAGAATACCTTTTATTGAAAGGCGTTTAATTTCTGATAGAAGAGGGGTTGAGAGTTCATTTTTTTAAAAGTTTTTTGAATATCCTTATTCAAATAAATGCTTATAAATTAGTTATTATTTTTATTTATATTTTTATATAGTCTTCTATATAAACATAACCGACGTTTTGAAGTTTGTTTGACTCCTTACCCTGGGCGGAGTATTATTAAAACTGCACTTGGAAACATTAAATTTAGTTTGGTGAAAAGTAATAAATTTTTAATCTAAAATTATATACATATTTCCTTAACAATTACAACAAATATTTATTTTGCATAAATAGTAGTAGCCTCCGCTGTTTGTTGTTTTGGGTTAATTTTGGATATAACGATGTCATTATATCGTTCCGAAAATCTAGTCATTACACTTCAATTAAATACTACATCATATTAGGATAAACAAAGGAGTGGTTTCAAAATATATCTAAATAGTATTCAAAATCATTATCATGCTATTGATTTTTCTCGACCGTGAGCGTATACTAGGTACAGTTTTAATCCTCAAATGTTCATGTTATATATATGCATTTTAATATACATTTAAATCTTTATATTTAAAATGATATAGTGAGATTTACATATATATTTAATAGAAGTGGTTGTTTTTTTTGGAAGAGTTAGTAAGTATATATCAACCAGAGCTTAACTTAAATGTTTATTTAAACTTAAATCTAACAATAAAACTATTTTTTTGAATATAATGAGGGGCGGTACATAATAGTAAAAATAAATAATAAAAAACCTTATTTTTATTAGTATTATATTTGATTTTATCGTCAGTTATGACCGCAGTGACTATTTTACTTAATAGAAATTTTAAATACTATAATTAAATTTTTTATTTGATTATACAAGTGATCCGAGTACTATTATAAACCTATCGTCAGTGACATTCGAAAGCCTTTGTTGTTTTTATTAGTCCATTTATAAGTTTTGGATTGCAGGTGCCATGCTTAAGACTTTGAAACTTAATTCCCTTCTTGTACATAAGTAACGCTTTACAAATAGATATTTGTAGAGAGATAATATATATTATATTATGTGTACATATATTATATATAGATTATATAATATAGTATATAATTATATATTGGTAATTACATATTTCAATAGGGTCAATCACTCTCGGTATTTGCTTCATTTGGCACTGTTTGGGATAAATACACTTGCATTTAAAAGAAAACCATTTTGTGAACTCTGCAACTGTTCAAAGTACTTCTTCAAACATTTTGAAAAACATCTGAATCGACGAATTGAAACACTTTCACGGCATTATGATAAGCAGCGGAAACTGCTGTATTGAACCAGAAGAAATAGAGTTTTTTTAATTAAATAAAATAAAAAAGCTATTAGTGACAAAGGTGGCTAAAAATGTTTATCTTAACAAATTAGTGAATACTTCCATCCAAATCAATAATTCTCCTTCTCTCGTTTTCTGAATAAAAATGTTAAGGATCGATTTTCTACTTTAAACTTAAGTTTTAAATCATACTTAATTCATATATAAGTCAGTTTTGTAATTAAAGTTATGACTATAATATCAAACCATCATTTCTCAATTCTATTTCAACTAACTAACAATTTTAAGTGAATCGCTAGATGAATTTAGTACTTTATAATAAATTTCTCCGATTTCTCGGGCACTCCTAATTGACAATGGATTTTAGTAAAGTACATTTAGTTCTTTTCGAACAACATCTTCTACTGCGCTATATGTTGATATAGCTTAGTGGTTTAAAGTTAGAAAATTTCAAATGAGAACCACCAATTACGTATGTTGGAAGAACTGTTATGAGAACTAGATGACGTATATACAATTATAATTAACTATATATTTATATATAATAAACTTTGATAGATTGATAGCTAAGCTATGTCGATATTAGTATATTAAATAGTGGAAAAAATTGCTCACAATGAATGATTCACTAAATTCCATTGTCTAATCAGTCTGCCCTGGGTAACAAAAACCCGCCGATTCAAGAACTTGTGGTTTCAATATAATATATTTGTATACGATAACTTAAATTGAAGAAAAAATATTAAACTTAAACTGGGATCTGGAGATGCACGAGTACCACTATTGATAAACGTGTGCCCTTGAACTTGTAATTTTCAAGATTGTAAAAATCTGATAGTAAAAACACTTGTGTAAAATAAATAAAATAAATTAATTAGATTAAATAAGAGTTATTACACAATAAGATGTAATAAATAAAAATACTTTTTTTCTTTTTTTATGTAATTATCTTAAAATTTATTTTCTTTAATTTTATTAGAGGAACGAGAACGTACAGATACGAGTACTCTAAATAAATCTTAGAAAAAGATTATTAAATGTAATGAGATTTTAAAGCATTAAACAATAATATTAAATACTAATTTAATATATAAAATATAGCAATTTTTGAATACTTTCAGGAATACTTGAATACTTTCTGCTCAAAAAGTATCCAGATTTTGTTTTTTGTTAACTACTCTTTAAGTAATAGACCAACAATTTTTTTTTTGTTATATTGGTACACCCTTTCTTGACATATGGTACAAATTTGAGCGCCATCTGTCAATTAGTTTGTTTACAGCAACTGTTAATATGAGACTACTTTTAAGTGCATTTTGCGATTTTTACTATGGAAAAGGAACTAATAGCCATACCTGCACGGGCCTACGAAAAGTATATGGAAGATTGGGTTAAGCGTTGGCATATGTGTATCGCTTTAAAAGGAGCATATTTTGAAGGAGATAAAATAAATTTGGAATAAAATTTAAATTTGTGTGTTTTATTTACAAAATCCGAGTACTTTTTGAGCAAAAGGTATCTATTGTATTCTAGACTTCTTTAAATGATCTTTGAATGAGTTTTCCATAAGAGATGCTTTGCGCTCTGCTCGTACATTTTGCACGTCAATTTTCGAGAAAAATTATTTAAATGCAAATAAAAACACACAGCTCTTAAATTGTTGACATTTAATATATAAAAAAAATATAAAAATAAAAACATTAACGGCAAAGTAAATAAACTAACAGATAAGCTAATCCGAGTCATGAAAGATATTTCGCTGTTATTAAATAAGATTCGTTGAGCAGCAAAGATAAAAATTGTTTAAAAATATCTTAAATGAATGCAAACTTCTCGTTTGATTTAATTTTTTCCCTTTAAATGCAAATATTTTTCTATAGAACTGTTAAATATTCCGAAAAAATAAATCTGAAGTATAGTAAACATTAAACACACTTATTTTGCAATCGCTATATAACCGCCTTACCACAGAAAATGGATTAAAATTTTGTATAAATAATTTAAAATTGCCGTATTTTTCGTTTATTCCAAGTTAATAATGTTTGTATGTCTATAGTCTAAATATGATTTTTTAAGTTGATATATTAGGTGATTTTGTAACATCAAGACACTGTATTAGTTCCTTCTCTAAGATCAAGATCCAATAAGGACACTGAGAATAAAATATTTTATTCCGTTTTATTCCGAAAAATTTAAATCATTATTTTGACACAAAAATAAAACTTCTAATTTTGATATAAAGTTACTTGATCTGGAGAGACACAGTATAGAAGTGTAGGGATTTGAGCATTGCAGAAAATAAATAGAGCCAAGTATAATATTAAGCATCGGTAGGTGAATAATATATCAATATAACATATTCTCTGAACACAGTAAAGAAGAATGGAGACTTCACCAGTGGAGACTTCATCAATAGAGCCAAGAATTTCATTGAGCATCGGAGTGGGCTAACAGCGACGACTTACTCAAACAATAAGTAGAACAAATGTTGACCGTAAAGAAATTATTGCGACAGAACTAATAACAACATTTTGAAGTTAGGTAAAAAGTTTAGAAATTTAGAAATACTTTAATGAGACTGGATCCACATAGCAGATAATGCTTTCCAAGTATGCAAGTACTCTTTTACCTACAATCTTTATCTTTTTGTGAGATCAGGTTTTAAAAAGGCATTTGAAAAAGTACTTGTTCGTGATTTCCACCTATAAATTTGAAACCTAATTCCCTAATCTATACTCTTACTTTCTAAAATGGCTTTCATTTAAGTTCGCTTATTAGTGGTTTTCATTTATAAATTTCCATCTTTTTCTCCCGATATTTCGAAAACTTATAATGTACTCTATATTGTTACTTTTTTAAATGCCTGTCATCCCAAATGTATTTATTGAAGACACTGCTTATTCTTTTAAATAACACAGTAGTTTCTCAGTTTCGCAAAACGGGGAGCCACTTCTTAGGGCGTATATACCATTGAATAGACTTTCACTGACATCTATCTATCTACTATTATTATATTCATACCAATAAAAATTAAGCACCTGAAAATCTGTTGTGCTCGTTTATATTCTTTTTTTGGATTTGAATTATTATTTGTTGACATGTTCATCAAAAAATAATATATGTATTTCAAACATTATTTGACATTCTGAGAAACGATTTCCGGCATTCATATAAACAAAAATGACAAATGGACTAATAAATGAATTTGGAAACTCAGTCCAAATAACAGACAATGAGTTTGAAATATTTTCCATTTGAAATTTTTCAATTTACACAAAACAAATATTTGTGTTTTGATTACAAAAACAAATTAATTTATTATAAATTTTTTCAAGTGTAGCAAATGATATTAAAACCCAAAACTAAAAAAAAAAAAAAACCGCAAAACAAATAAAAAAATATTAATTTAATTGTGATTTTTATCATTTCAGCTCTTGGAGATGGGAGTGACGTAGATAATAATGATAACACGCAGACGAATACAAATGACACCGGTAAGTTGAATTTATCAAGAAAAATAAACAAAAAAAAAATAACTAAATTCAAACAAAAATTTATTTAGTTTTCAATTGCGATAATGTCTTCTTAATTTTATTTAATTTAAATTATTTTTTTCTTCAAAATTGATGCTTAACTGTGAGGTCTTACTTTGCTTGGGCGATATTTTCACATATGATTATTTGCGATTGGATTTGGTTTACTGACCATCGCCATATCGTTTAAATCTAAGGTTCGTTTATCAAATGGTGAAGTCCCCGGACGACGTCACAAGCTGCACTGAATTTGGAAATTCTGTTGAAATACATTAAGACTGAAAAGTTTTCGGAAATTCTCATTTAAAATTCGCGCGCTGTATATTTTTCGATATTTTAAGTTTATGTTTGGCAGCACTGTCCTTAATTACTATGCCAAAAATGAGCTCGATCTGTCAGACAGTTCGTTTACGGCAGCTGTTGAAACCAGTTCACCTCAGTAGTGCGTTGCGAAATGTCTTCGACGGTCGTACGACCGTCCTGGAAGGCTTTGTACCACTCATAAACTTGAGTTTTCGATAAAACTGATTCCCCATAAGCCTTTTGTAGCATTCGCAACGATTCTGCACACGAAATTTCGTTCGAAACACAAAATTTGATGCAAACTCTTTGTTCAATATTTTTTTCCATTGTTTTTTTCGCAACGCCCTACTGAGGTGAACTGGTTTCAACAGCTGCCGTAAACGAACTGTCTGACAGATCGCGCTCATTTTTGGCATAGTAATTAAGGACAGTGCTGCCAAACTACATAAACTTAAAATATCGGAAAATATACAGCGCGCGAATTTTAAATGAGAATTTCCGAAAGCTTTTCGGTCGTATTATTTTTAATTCGTATACAGTTACGCATACTCGTATACCCATATTAGGATTTGTCTGCGATACATTTTAAAATCGTATAAATTATCAGAAAAAAATTGTTAAATAATTTATTAAGTAAAATTTGTCGGTTCGATATTAAATATTTGTGATTTTATAACGATTTCTTCACCGAAATCAAACCAAAAGTTAATGAAACGTGTTTTTGAAACAAACATTTTTTATTTGTTTTTATAAATAGTGACGCTCTTTGATTTATTATTCAACTTAGAAAACAAAAACTATATTTTTTAATTTAAAGATTTATTCGAAATACAAATACACAAGAGATAAAAACTCAAACAACAAAAAAAAACGTTAAATTCTTAATCTTCTTCACATTCTTAAAATGAAACGCGTCAATAATTAACACGATTTTTCATTAAGTTTTTTATTTTCGTTTGCAAAATTTTGCATACTAAATTTGTTATTAATAAAAAACAAAAAAAACTAGAACACAGAATAATCAAACTTCATTTCTTTATGAGCAAATAACATTTTGAATAATCCTTGAAATTGTATTGATACCTTAAAACACTTGATTTATGCAAATTTCCATCACAGGCTAAAGCCAATAACTATTTAATTAGTCAACTTCCACTTCAGATATCATATCAAACTGAGCAAATCTTCTACTTTAGATATCAATCAGAATTCATAGCAAAGGCTATATAATAACGAATGTCTATTCCGCTCAAAAGTGGATGTGTGTCATGGGAGTGAGTTAGCATAACATAGTCTAGTAGCAAAAACGTTTCCGCGAACCCTTGAAGTCTTTAGCGGTCCCTAACTTTTAAAAAATTAAGGTTCGTCGTCATAGGTGTTCAATATCACATAAATAAGCTTTTCGGTAGATTTTTTTTTGTCGAATGTGATGCATCTTACGACAAAAGGAACACTAGAAGGGTTCAAACAGTAATTAAGAAACAACAACTATAAAAATTTGTTTAATTTATTGAAATTTGGCTGACACTGTTTCAAGTATTGCCAAATACTCATACTCGAAACAGCGTATGGTCAGCCAAATTTCAATAAAATAATCAAATTTTTGTAATTGTTGCTTCTTTATTACTGTATATATTCTAGCTATAGCCTTTTGTTAGTTTGATGCATTTTGGATGTAATATTCGCTTGTTATTTACAAATATTTGATCGTTTGTTATATGTAGGCTTCGCTTCATCGGGTATTTGTTAAACCAAGTGTCCACTGTATTTATAAAAACACCATAATATTTAAAATTTTATTAACATTTTTATAGCTTATTAATTTACATATATAGAGATCCGTGAGAAACCAACCCTATTTTATTGAGTTCGCTTCAGCTTGTCTTTTTTTTTAATTTATTGTAGCTTTTGTCTCAAAAAAATATTTCATTAAAATTTTTTTAAATATTTTAATATACAAATATTTTTAAATTTAAGTTAATTAAAATTATGTTTACTAAGTAAATATTTTGGTGACAAGCATATAGTTAAATCCTTTATATAAACTTTTCAGTTCCTCGAATCAAATATTTTGACATGAGAGTTAACATATTTTTGGAATTTTTTAAACATTAATTAAAAGCTTTAATTTAACCATAAATCCAAAATTTTTTAAATTTCTTTTTATAATTACTTTAACTAATTATTTAACAAATTTTTGGTCTTATCTACTCAATTTGTTGTCAGTTTAAGAGGCTGTTTGACGCAGTAATAATAATTTAGGATGATTTTTATTTTCTATTAAAATTTCTTTAATAACAAAAAATCATAGTATACGCCCTCTATATTTCAAAAACTATACCAGCAATATAACGAACTTAACAGAATACAAATTCTGTTAAATAAGAACCCATTTATTAAAAGCTTTTATATTAAAATTCTTAAGTTATTTTTGAAAAGCTGCACACCAACTTTATGTTATTTCTTTCAGATTCAGAGCTTTCATCGCTTTCCCATGTTGGTAAGTAAACGCCTCAACACGCTTAGCGAAGAAATTAACATATTAACGCATTTATAAAATATTTTTAAATATCAAGAAAATCAACTAATATTTCTAATTTTTTTACACTCAATGATAAAATGGTGTGAATATACTCATTAATAAAATATTTCCTACAATAAAAATTATTAATCGCATGGGGTGCACGCAGTGATAGTAAAAGTTTTTTACTTCTATTTAAATATAAAAAGTATAGCATACTTTTAGCTGCCTTCGGCTCAAAACTATACTATGAAAAATATTTTTATTTTTCTGCAGTAAGCTTTTTTAATTTATTTACTTTAACAAAGGTTTGATTCTGTTAATAATGCAAAGAAAAACATAGAATATTGAACTATTTAACAGAGAAGGAAAACATTTCACTTTTTCGATGATTTATTTATATGTCCCAATCACAAAAGTATGCTTTATAATTTTTATAATATTTTTTATTTTTATTCTACATATATTAAAAAGTACATTCATATATTTTTTGTTTAAGCCTAGTGCTAACATTCATTTCGCATGAAAAATTGTTATAAAAATCCAGAAAAACTTTATAATTTTAAATCAAATAAAAATTTATATGCAATTTTGTGTCAATATTAAATGGGGAACGAAAGTTAGTAATAAGCTTTACTGAGAAATATTTTTATTTCTTAAAATACTTTGCTTAATTGGTGTTATATGTACAGTATATATATATATATATGAATAAATAAATTTAAAAATTAATAAATTATCTCTTTAATTATTTGAAAATGCATGAATTAATATTATATATAAATGAACTGAATATTTTTTTATTAAATTTATCATTTTACTCGTATACATCCAGAATTTACGACTAAACTATTACCTGAAACCAAAACATTTGAAACAAAGCAACAACCAGGGTTTGAATTGCTGTTGCTAATTGCATTGCTTGCATAATTGCTAACGCATTGCATATGAAAATGAAATAAAAATATGCATTAGCAACAGCAAAAAACGTAAACTGGTTTCATTTTGATTGCTTGCTAATAGTCAATTTTACATTTTTGACTATTATGCATTTGGAATATATGCAACTTGCTTGCTTATGCGTTAGTTGCTTGTGTTTTGCTATTAGCAAATGTGTATGGATTTCTTTTTTTGTTTTTGTTTTAAGGGAATGTGTACGCATTATTTCTTTGTCAATTATGATGTGTGCGTACAATTTGTATGCAATTAATATAATTTTATTTGTAATTAGATTATGCCTAAACTTATGTTTATTTTAATTATTAAATTTATGATATATATGATATATATATATATATATAGATAGATATATATATATATATATTAATTATTAACTATTAATTCATATATAAATAAATATATATATATATATAATATATATAAATAATTTTGTATTAAAATTAAAATATAACTTAATATTTAAAACAGTTTAAAAAGTGAAATTTTTTATTTTATTTAAAAAACGTTTTTATAAATTAATGTGTTTAATAAACGACCTACGCCCGGTAAAAAACATAAAAACTTTGTTATCAATTATGATTAAAAATTTTAATTTGATGTTATTATTCTTCTAAATTTAAGTCCCATTCAGGAGGTTGAAACAACGGCATATCATCAATAGCATGGTCCAAAAATTGCGGATTTAGTTTAACCATGAGAATGTTTTCTAAAGTTTCATGATTAAGACGATTCCGTTGATCAGATAATATCAATTTTAGTGACGAAAAAGCACGCTCGATGGTAACCTTAAATGTAAATGACATTAATTTGATTATTCATTATTTGTGCACTAACAGCAAATATATTGCGAGACAATCTTGTGGCACTATCAATTTTTAAGGAAATCAATCGTTGCTTGAGCTCTTTTTTAATATGTTCTTTAATATTGCCAGCAACTAATTTCAAGACACTTTTACAGTTATTGCTGTTCAATACAAATTTTTTATTAAATTTTTCTTCTAAGCCACGACAAATAGGGTCAATAATCTTTCTCATATTTTCCGAATTAAGGACATTAAATGGAATACTGTCCTCAGTTACTAAGCCAATATAGCAGCGAAATAACTCTTTTTTGCTCATTTCGATTTTAATTGTTTGTTTTCGGAATGATTTTTTCACAACTATTGCACTAGTACTTGAGCTGGAATCTTCATTTTCATTTATATTTAACTGGTGCATATTTTTTAAATGCGTTCTTAAATTAAATATTCTGTCCCTCTTCAACGAATGTTTGCAAATTTTACAAACTGCTAAATCGCTATCACTAATTATTTTAAAATGTTGAAGAATTGCGAATTTATTAAGTCGCGGAGCCATGATATACCGATTAAAATGAAACACTTCAGAATAATGGCAACTTTGTCTTTTAAGCTGTACGGAATTAACACGACTAGGCCGATTTACATTATCATAAACGTAAATTGCTTGTTTATATAAAACATAGCTCATGTCAGTTCATGAAAATGTTTGTCTAAAGTATCACGTATTAGACACATAATAGTGTCCCACATAGTCATATATATAATATATATATATATATATTTATATATGAATTAATAGTTCATAATTAATATATATATATATATCTATCTATATATATATATATATCATATATATCATAAATTTAATAATTAAAATAAACATAAGTTTAGGCATAATCTAATTACAAATAAAATTATATTAATTGCATACAAATTGTACGCACACATCATAATTGACAAAGAAATAATGCGTACACATTCCCTTAAAACAAAAACAAAAAAAGAAATCCATACACATTTGCTAATAGCAAAACACAAGCAACTAACGCATAAGCAAGCACGTTGCATATATTCCAAATGCATAATAGTCAAAAATGTAAAATTGACTATTAGCAAGCAATCAAAATGAAACCAGTTTACGTTTTTTGCTGTTGCTAATGCATATTTTTATTTCATTTTCATATGCAATGCGTTAGCAATTAGTCGTTTGACAAAAATCGACTGGTCCATAGTTATGCATTAGTCAAAATATGGTTGCTTTTGCTAATTTTCAGCAAGCAATTCAAACCCTGGCAACAACTGTAGTAATAAATAATGAATAATAATGAAAAGAAAATATCTCTATGTTAAAATATAATTTCAAGTACAAGAAAAGAATGGACTATAATAATAATTATTATTATTAAGAGGGGATGTGGCACTGCGACTATCGGGTCTATTGAGCTACCTTCTGGTAGTTTCACGTAAGTCTCTAAACCGTGTTGCGTCAATAAAAAGTAGTATAGAGTCTAGTTTACAGAGTTTAATTGCTTCTTCCGTAAGGATATACTTTCCCAGGAGTCTATTTTGTTATGTGTATTAGCAATAAGCACATTTTTAAGCTATTTATCAAAAAAATTAATAGTTTCAGTTACTGTCAAATATGCATAATCAAGGATTTTTTAGAAGTATTTTTGGTTTAATTAACCGTATATGTTGAATTATAAAGGTAATATTATATAGTACGTCATGGTTACGTTAAATTTGAAATTATTATCATAAATGTTAAATAAAACATTGATAATGAGAGAAAGTTAGAAATTTAAACTTAAATTTGATCACGGTTTGATCAAGGCTTTGCGTGCCGCGTAGGCTATTGGTTGTAAAACATGTCCCTAAGTAAAGCGATTGTATATCTATCAGTATCTGCACAAAAAAAAAATTCTTTAATGTTGCAGTGCATGCATAGCCTATTCATACTAATATATGTCAGTGTATATTCTATTTCATAGCCTGCTTACGTTTTATACAGAAACTTTTTAAAAAAAAGTTTCCTGTGATTTCTTTTTTATATTTTCATATTTTTTTATTTTGATGCTGTTAGCTGGCACATTTTTATATTTAGCATTTTCTTTTTTTTTTCTAACTAGGTGGTTTCATATGAATTTAATATATGTAAAGTAAAACATAAGCATAGAAACATGTGTTGAAAGTGGACTTGTATGATCATCTTGCTTTTATCAGGAAGACCAAATAATTTAACAAGGATAATATATAGAGATGATAAAGGTTATTTTATTATATTTTACTTTTTCTGGAAGACTAATTGATTTAGTACATGAAGGTCATAATGGTTAAAGTAATTCACAATTTTAAGAATATAACAATGGACTCCATAGTTGTCTACTAATTGGAGTTAAAGACTTCCATGAGTACGTTGTTATTTTATGCAATTGTTGTATCAGTACACGTCTTCTCAATCTAGCTTAACATTTTTAGCGTGATCTTTACATGCAATATATCCAATATCCTACTTGCAATTATGGAGTGCTACTTACAGTTCATGACTGGTTATTATCTACCCTTTTAGTTATTTAGCGATTTGCTTGTAATAATTAATAATTACTCATAATACAATATTGCTTAACTTCGGATTATCGGCTTTATGCTCTTAGTCATCATATCATTAAAGCTATAAGTATATACGTAACGAAATTAGTTCGTAACTGAAATTTATTTTCGAGTGAATTTATATACAAAATTGGTTCACATCTTTAATAATAATTGTTAATTTTAATAATATAGTTTATATATGATAATTGAATATAATGTATGTATAATCTGTTATGTCGGCATAACGTACTCAGATGCAGCATGGCAACTAATTTGAATTTTGTTATATTTTTACAGTTATTTTCCAAATAGAAATATTTGCCTTAGAAATTAAATGTTTAGAGAAAAAAACTATGAAAAGTAAATTAAAGCAAATTATTTGTTTAAAATTATTTATATTTGCTTGCGACGTGTAAATAAGAAAATAATTTTTCACAGCTTCGCTGTTTTTCTGTGTAATATCTTTTCACATTCAACATCTGCTGCATTATAGGCACAAACAGGTACATTTCTTAAATAATTTGATTTTTAATAAAGTTTTTGAATTTAATTTCAACAACAAATGCCATTAAATGCAATACTCACAATTAACAATATATTACATTGCCAAGGTGAAAATAATAAAAT